GAAACTTCACAGGCAAATGCAAAATATCAAAGTAATTAAAGTAACTTAAAAAGATGGGTTGTTTGCAAGATGCAGAATATAACACAAGTATTTTGTAAATCATATATACATACCGGTAATTCATTTATTAATTCTTGGGATATAACTGTATATTCATTTATTTATTTATTTCACAAATCAGTGGCGAAACCACTCACTCAAGCATGAAGGCAAGTTTTAGTCATCTCACTCGCACTGAGAATGAGAAAAGTTCACAGGACAGCCAGTTTTTTCATTGCAGTGAAGGTAGTTAACTACAGGAGTTGAATTTACAATCTCCCTGATGATGGGTCATCCCATTACACAAAGAAATAGGATATGTATAGAAATTGTTCACAAATTAATTACTACCCAGTAGACTGTTTAAGGACATCACAGGTGAGTTTTACTTTGTTGATTGGTTGCAAAAAACGATTCATGATGAGCAGCTGTGCAGACTAAAAAAAAAATGCTATCAATCTATAAACTTATCTCAAAGGTGAGATATTTTTATAATCTTGAACCAAGAAAAAAAAAAATCATGCTGTTTTCCATAGAAATCAAAGCCAAAAGATCGCACTACATATTGGTAAATCTCTTCCGTGTTGCATTCACTAAGCAATGCATTCGTGTTTGTTTTTATTTGAAACTTCTGTTAGAATATACTTTCTATTACAAAGAAAATTAAATAAATGCATGTTACATCAAATATATTAAATATACCCCGGTAGTATTTTTTTATCATGTGAAATTTTTTTTAATTGACTAATTTTTCAACATTTCTTGACGCCTATTTTAGAATCAAAGTAAGGCTTTTCACTCTTTCCTGATGTCTATTCAAGAGATTGTACGGTGTATTGTTTGTTTTGTGCATGTGTTGTGGGAAACAATTACCACGCCCATTTAGTGATTGTAATATGCACGTAATATAAACCACACCCCGAACTTGAGTTTTTGATCCAATTTTCAAATTGATACATTGTAATATAAACCATGGTTTATATCAGGACTTTTACGGTACTGATGTTCAACATTTGTATCACAGATAAACGCATTTCATTCTGTACTTTGAGTAATGAGATATGTTACTGCAGGAGAAAATCACAATACCTTGTGGTGTCCCATGTAGTATATTCAGAGTAACTGAGCGATGAAGTTCATGCTGGCTTGTGATCATTGTAGCATATAACACACCACGTCTTGACACGTCATCTAAGGCTTGTCCCAAAGAAACATCAGATGTTAAGAAAATAATATCCACTATCAGACCAATCTGCTTTAGACGTCTTTCAACTGTCTCTGCATAATCTCTGCATGGAAAAAATATTAAGCATTATTTCTTGTATCACTCCCTGATGTACTGTATACACCATGACATAGGAACCATATCAAATGACTTAAAGCAATGAAAATGTTACAAATAGAACAGTTTCCACCAATACTGCCAATGCAAGAAGAGAAATCTTTGACAAAGATTACATTGTGGATCTTACCGTTGTTGTCTATTGACAACAATAACTTCACAATCGATAGGTCTTTGTACAGTCTCAGGTGCCTGTTGTGGTTCAGGTTCATTCATATCGGCATAAGCACGGGGAAGTCTATCACGAGCCGACGGTCTTTCATAATGAGGTCTATCATAATGATCTCTTTCTCGCAACTCTTCTCGCCTTGGATCCCTAAACAAAATAATATAATGATCCTCGTAGTCACCCTGACTGCAAGCAAGCAGAACACCTGCTAGTGCCACCCATTCAGTGTACAGCATGAAGACACTGGTAAGTCCAAGTACTACCCATTCAGTATATTAAACAATGTTTACCTTGCATATGGCTCATCACGCTCATCTCGACGTCCTTGATAGTATTCATCCACATGTTCTCTCCCACGTGAATAGGGGTCACGACGGTCATAGGGAACACGATCTTGTTCAACTAATGCACGCCTGTAAATGTAACACATGTCCCTCATCTACAAATACAATTTATCATAATGGTACAAATAAAATACCATGTATCAG